GGGGGTTGTAGTTGGTGATTTATTATTTTATTTATTTTTTATCTTGATTATTAGTTTATTATCGCATACCTTCTTATATGATGTAATAAATATACAATCAGTTGTCATCTGGTCGGGTGGAGGCCCCACTATTTTGAACTGTCCAGTTATGGTAAACATTGGTACTGATACTTTTAAGCTGTTATATATATAACTGATGTCGTTACCAGTTACCACATTGTCGAGAGATTAAAATCTGCAGATGCTTACAACTACTAATGGATTGGCTGCAATGCTGTTGACTGGCGATACTATATTGCTGTAACCTAATAAAATGTATATATTTGATTCTTGCTTGATTCAGGATAGGATTTCTGGATGATCATTAATCTTCATATATCATATTGCTTTTGGTAGTAAGCTAGTTCTCCATTCCCATAGCAATATGAGATAGAAAGCTTACATCATATTCTAGAGTTCATCTTTTCTGTTGTATGATAAATAATTAAGGAATGTTGCTCTTTACTTTTCTTGCTTCCTGTGTATATGATTACCTGTTAGGTTTTCTTAACATTACCAATGGATAGTTTTATATGAAGATAATTTTGCCAGTTTATGGGAATTTTATTGATTGGTAGGTTCAAATATTATCTTATATAAGTGAAGGCCCTATTTTGTCTCTATTAACAAGTTTCTTATCTGGAATCCGATTATGAGGTTTTTATGCTTCTGGAAAATTTCATCTCTGTAGGTGAACGTCAGCCAGATAAGGACAGAAAGAAAGATGTGCCTCATCCTCGTATGCAATTTGATGATGCAAGCAGAGTTGAGAAAGCAAAGAAACGTTCTGTCGTGAAACAAACTGAAGTGAAAAACAGAGTCGAACTGTTTCGGCATTTGCCTCAGTATGAACATGGAACTAGGCTACCTGAGCTGGAATCAAAATTCTTCCAACTTGATCCTGTTCATCCTGCTGTTTACAAGGTAACTTCAAATGCTCCCAGTAAATCCTAGGCACAAAAGGCCTGTATGCTATAATCCTAAATCATTTCGGACGGTCTTTTGTAGTTTTTTATTAGTTATTAAGGGTACAAAATCAGTCTATGAGGTGTTAGGTAGTAGAAAACACCCTAGGGTGATTTGAATTTTGAATTCAGAAAAACCCGCTTGAGCTTTTATTCAACTTAAATTTGACAGGTAGCTGTAATATATCTGTCAATATCATTCTGTCTTTTGAAATACTTATTTGCTGATGAAAGGTGGAAAAATGTGAAAAAACGAATCTATCTCCCCTGAGAAGCTCGGTATTTTTGTGGTGAGGTCAAACCTTAAGTCCGTCGATTCTTTGTGATTTCTCTTAATATATTAAAAAGACACAGAATTTAAAACCTTTCTCTCCACTTAATTCTTCGTTCTTGATTTACATGTATCAGGTTGGGCTGAGATATCTATCTGGAGACATATCCGGTGGCAATGCCCGCTGTATTGCCATGCTTCAAGCCTTTCAAGAGGCCATCAAAGATTACAACACACCCACAGAAAAATCTCTGATAAGGGACCTGACCACTAAAATAAACGGTTATATCTCTTTCTTGATCGAGTGCAGACCCCTCTCGATCAGCATGGGCAACGCAATCAAATTCCTCAAAAACCGAATCGCCCACTTACCTCTAACCCTTTCCGAGTCAGAGGCCAAAGCAAATCTCATCTCTGACATTGATCTTTTCATAAGCGAAAAAATCATCCTAGCCGATAAACTGATTGTGAAGCATGCCGTGACCAAAATTCGAGACGATGATGATGTACTTCTAACTTACGGATCGTCCTCTGCAGTCGAGTTGTTATTACTGCACGCGCACGAGCTCGGTAAAAAGTTCCGTGTGGTGATAGTCGATTCTCGTCCGAAGCTCGAAGGACAAAAATTGCTCCATAGGCTCGTGGGGAAGGGTATTAGCTGCACGTACACTCACATAAACGCAGTTTCTTATGTCATGCATGAAGTGACTCGGGTTTTTTTGGGAGCATGCTCGGTTTTATCGAATGGGACGGTTTTCTCGAGGGTTGGCACTGCATGTGTTGCAATGGTGGCTCATCAGTTTCGGGTCCCGGTTTTGGTTTGCTGTGAAGCCTACAAGTTTAATGAAAGGGTTCAACTTGATTCGATTTGCTCTAATGAGCTTGGTAATATGTTTTTGTAGTCAGATTTGTGTGGCTTAATAAAATGTGGTATCATATATATTCTGGTTGTGATTTTGGTATTTGAGTTTCACGTATGTCTTTTTTAGGTGATCCTGATGCGATTTCGAAGGTTTCGGGAAGAAGCGAAATCGATGATTTGGATGATTGGGCTAATAGTGATAACCTGCAACTCTTGAACCTGATGTAAGTGTATTTGACTATTTTCTTGATGTCGACTTGTGGGTTTTTAAGGTACTCTGCTGGTGGATAATAGTGTATACCAGCTGACGTTTTTTTTTTGTTTTTTTTGTTTTTTGCTCTATACCAGTTATGATGCAACACCTTCAGTTTATGTCTCGATGATTATAACCGAATACGGCATGGTAAGTGAGACTCAAGTCTATCAATCTCTCTTCACTTCAATGAAAGGATAAATGATCAAAACTAGAAACCAGTCTCTCTGATCATTAAATTTTGCTCTCATTTTTGTGGTGAAAATTGGTTCTTGATTCAAAGTAAACAGTTGTTCTTTTTCATGTTTGTGCCTTTTTCATTATACAGCATGCAATAAAATGTAACTTGTGTTCAAATATGATGTGTTTAGATCCCACCAACAAGTGTCCCTGTTATCGTGCGCGAATTTCACAGAGAACACTTGTGGTCCTAACAAGAATCCAGCATTGGCAAATGGCAATGACATTCTTGGAGATCTTCGGAGTCGAGCACCTTTTTGGATCATCTCTATCAATCTAAAGAATCTTTACTTTCATTTGATTCTTGTTGTAACATTTTTTTTTTTTCATATAAGCTGTTAGTGATCTGAAGTCAGTTGGTAACTACGTGAAGAATGCGAAAACTCAAAACTCTCTAGGCAGATTTTGGAATGTATGATTAGATGAGCTCTTTAACCTTGTTGTTGATGGTTTTACTTTGTGATTTTATAGTTTGTGATATGCTTAACCCATCACTTGATGTTTTTATTATGAGCCAAGCTATGATTTAGTTTAATGCAACAGATTACACAGGTCAATCATTTACATGTAGTCACAGTATGATGTTCCTATATATAAAAAATCAAAATTGCCAAAAAAAAGAATGTAAATGTATGAGAACTGCTTCTGAGAATATGATGGTTTTGGTTGGCTTTTGCTTGATTTTCTCTCTCTCTCTCTCTCTCTCTCTCTCTCTCTCTCTCAAAAAAATAAAATAAAATAAAATAAAATAAAATAAATAAAAATAAAAATAAAAAATATGTAGTAGCAAATAGCCAGATACTCAAATAGCAATGCCTTCAATTCATTCAGCTATTCCTCTGGGAACATCACCTTTCGACAAAACGCCAAGAATAACGAAACCGGACAAGACAACAATCAATATCCCCAAACAGTTGACAAGTAATGCCTCTGACGAGTAACGTGTTATCACTTTACTCGTCTGAAGAAATGTTACTTTCTCTAGAAAACCGGTCGTGCAAGCAGCTATGGCGAGTGCGTAAATGTAGATTCCAATGAATACGTGCCATGTCAGCAGCCTCGACCGGCTGTTTCTTGATCCACCGGGATACCAAAAGGTTACAAATCCAGCACCCCACTGTAGATACATAATTTTTTTTTTTAAAAAAAAAAAAGACAAACAAAGAAAAAATTAGAAGATGACTTTGAAGAAAATGGGAATTTTGGTAATGCAAAAGTACAAGTTAATCTATATGGATAGTTAAAAAGGACAAAAATAAAACACAACAAAAAAAGAAAAGAAAAGAAAGAAAAAAAAACACCCTTGAACTTGAGGATTAACAGACTACCTGGACTGCAAATAAGAGAAGACAGCTCAGGCCAAGCCACGAGTGGAGGCTATAGAAGTTATCGATGCCTTTATCAATGTGAAATTTCCATGCAGCCCACAACCCAATGGCGCTTAAACAGAAAGCGAGGAATTGGAGGGAAAGATGTACAAGTTTTTTGAAGCTTTTTGTTCCTGATACAGTCTTGTAAGCTAGCATGGCTGCAAGAAATATTAGTTTTGAGGGTTCCAGTGAATGGGGACTAATGAAAATGAAAATTCATTTAAAAAGCCAACGTTAACGAGTGCAGACGGATATTCAAAATAACGTAAAGATCCCAAATGTCCATTCGGATTAGATGCAAGAAGTGAAATGAATTGCCTTGCTCTTAATCACACACAACTACTATTCACATGACTCGGCACGATTTCTTTACTGACTCGTGAGCAATCAAACCAACATTAACCAAAGTACTGCATAATCAACTCATGTAAGAATACCAAAAATGTGAAAATCGAATACAGTTCACTTCTTCGTTTATTATTTGGTGATCGGTTTTTCGGGAACTTGAAGCGGGAGAGAACAAATTTACGATCCGTCGAGCAAACTACATATTTATAGGCCATAAGGAAGAACAAGTTTCTCAAAATATCACCTGGATCAAGAAGCAACAAATGATTACACTCCAATTACATTTTGGTTAGGTGTCAAACAGATCAATTCATGGATGGCTCCAAATACATTTGGGTTATGTGTCAAATACATTAAATTTATACCTTCGCCATTCAGAAGCACGAGGCTGACCACCATTAGTACAGGATGAACCTGCAAACAGAACACACCAGGAGACAATTTTGAAACACACCCTTCATTCAAATACCCAATACAAGAATGAATTGATGATAAAGTTCGTAACTTTAAGAAAAAATGTGAAGAAAACTCTATGAACGGGAAAATGAAAAATTACGTTGAAAATTTGATCTTTATTTTCGGACACGAGGGCCAGGCCGCCCCTGTAACGCACGGCCCATGTTAGAACTAGCGCCGCGACAGCGATTCCGATTATTCTCACCGCCGGGAGGAGGGGGAACCGTACGACCGGCGCAGCCATTGGCGATTCTTGAGAAAAAAATAATAAATTGAGGTTAAATTGTGAATGAGAGAGTAAAAAGCTCTTCTTTTGTGTTCAGATCTCTACTGAGAAAACGATCGACTGCGCTGGATGGCTGAGGCGCTTGGTCCTAAGGAAGAGTTGACTATTGACTTTCGTCTGTTCAAGGCTTCAAAGTTGAAGATGATGACGTAACAACGAGAAATCAACAACACATTAATGAAATTTTGGGAAATGCTAAATGGTTAAAAACTCGACAGAATGATTCCGTAACAAGATCGTAAAATCTCCCAAAATTTAAACTCGACAGAATGATTTCGTAACAGAACCGTAGAATCTTCAAAATTTTATTTACGTGTTGTAAATAAAATTTTGAACCATGATCGTCGCAAGTTCTAATAATTTGACATAAATGTGGGATTGAAAGAGCTGCGAGTGTGAGGTAATTGTAAATATTGAAAAATCAACAAAAATTGGTGACCGATGATGAAACATTAAGGTTATGTTTGGTAAGAGTAGTTGGTAGATTAGTTTATCAGTAACTAGTATCTATCCCGTGCGATGCACGGGATGTAATTATTTTGGTAAATATTACAAATTGAAGTGTATTAATAGTTAAAATAGTAATAATTTGTAGAGAAATTGTTAAATAGTAAAATGTTGCACATGAAAAAATAATATATTATTAGAAACCTCATGTTTGATAACTGGGTACCGCGTCGTACCCACAAACAAATATTTTTAACTCTTTTATATTACTTTCAAACGAAACAATATATAATTGGTCGTGACTAAACACGATTTATTCAAGAACATGCCAACACATGGTAAAGATGGCTCTGACTCTTCTTTATTTATTATTTACACGCAAAACAACAACATATATTGGTCGTGATTAAAAGCCGATTTTTCTTAAGAACATGCCAACACAAGATAAAGACTGACTCTGACTCTTAATGGAACCTTATGATCAGAAGGAACTGGTGCAGCTGGAGTTTAAATGGAACCCTAATATGGATCATATGGATCTTTTTATAATATGATAATTTATTTGCAGTTCGACAAATAAGTTGTTAGTTTATCATTTTAATAACAGTTATACTTGATTAGCTAAATTATATTCACGAATATTTGTATACTTTTTTCTTATCTTGTTTAAAATAACATTAAAAATGTATGTTTAAAATATTAAAAACACTTAAACTGTTATATAACATATGTAAGATTATCTAAAATATTTTATATTATTCTTAAAAAATATATGAGGTCACCTATAATTTTTCTAAATTATTTTGTAAGTAAAACATGTCTAAAAAAGTTTAACACACACACAAATATATATATATATATATATATAATATTATATATAATATATATATATATATATAACATGTTTAAAATATACAAAACATCACATGTGAATAATATGTGTTCAATTTGTGTCCAATTTGATTACTCTCTTTGTACTACTTTGAAATGAAATCTTTACAATATATTTGTTTCTTTTAAATTATTATTTAAGTTGTATATACGACATAACCGTATGATAAATTTGCGTTAAAATATGCGATTTATTTATATGTATATACAAAATTTTAAATTAATTTTTCATTAAATATTAAATTTTGTATTTTTTTGTTTTTTATAATAGCATTCCCATTTAGAATATTGTTACCATGGTTAGTGTAAAAAATTTAACAAAAAAATGTCACATTTAAAAAAATAAAAAAGAAAAAAACAATTTTTTATGATAATGAATTTGTGTATATCTAAATCATCCTTGTGCTACAATACCACAGTCCGTACCCATAAACTTTTGTGACCAATTTCATTACCTTTTTTTTTGTATTACTTTGAAATGAAATCTTCACAATATATTTGTTTCTTTTAAATTATTATTTAAGTTGTATATATTGCATAACTATATGTTAAAATAATATTTTTACGTTGAATTTTACATTATTATTTAAGTTGTATATATTGCTAACTATATATTAAAAAAAATAATATTTTTACGTTGAAATATGCAATTTATTCCTATGTATATAAAACTTGTAAATAAATTTTTCAATATAGATTAAATTTTGTATTTTTTTTTTTTTTTTGGTTATAGCATTACCATTTAAAATATTGTTACCATGATTAGTGTAAAAATTTTAACCAAAAAAAATAATAATAATGTCACGTGTAGAAAAATTAATAAAAACAAAATGTTTCCATGATAATGAATTTGTGTATATTTAAATCATCCTTGTGCTATCCATCTGCAGAAACGTGTTGCATAAGGGAAGGATTAACTCAAACATTGAATTTGGAAAAATAAATTACAATCCATTTCCTTTTTTCACGGCAATCTAACTAAAACTGGATTTTACAAAATAAATTACAAAAACATTTCCCTTTTTCACGGCAAATTCGCTCACGCAATTAATGAGTCATGTGTGTGATACTTCTTTATATATAAGGTAATTAATGAAAATGGCTGGAAATTGTTTCTAAATTTGATTTATGTTAATCCTTATTATATATATAGATATATCATATAAAACATTAACTCTAAAATTTATTACATACCGAACAAATTGTGTAGAGATTTTATGATGTTAAAATTTTTCATGTTAGATAATTTTAAATATTTTGTATGTATATATTATGTTGTTGTACGACAATTTTTAATGTTTATTTCATTTAATGTGAAGGCTAAAATCATAAAAAAAGAATCTCAAACACTCAAACAATATATTTGCATAATTTAAGGCCATAAAGAAATTGATCTCCGAATCAGATTTGATTTTGAGAATCTGTGTTTTATTTCGAATTTGTATCTTAATATTAGTACACATCGAGCAAATTGTGTACATATTTTAGAACGTTAAAATGATTCACGTTAGGTAATTTAAATTTTATGTCTGTTGTTGCACGGAGGGTTTTAAGTATTGTTTCACAATATGTAAAAGTGTATTATTTTATTTTTATGAGATCTTGAATTTGAAAATTAATAGAATTCTTTCTCGTATGAATTTTAAATGTAACAATATTCTTTGGTATACACTACTAATAAAATCTATATTTAAAGATTTTATTTTTTGTTCTTTACCGAAAAAAATTCCTTAACTTAAGGAATCATATATCTTCAATCAGTCCACATCTATATACGTTCTTCACAAATTTAAATTTTAATTATTATTTCAACCATACTTCTTTATGCAATTTTTTGTGAAAATACAAAAGTAAATTTTTAATTTTGAATCAGTCGTGCATTAAAGTGTACAAAATTTTTAAATTACAAAACTATTCTTTTAATTTTAAATTAGAGGTAAATTGAAATCAGCCATAACCAAAAGTAATTTGTTTTACAATTGAAGTATTAAATCAACCGTAATTAATGTTGTTTGTTTTATTTGCCATGATTTTCTCCAAACTAAAGTAACAACTATCATGATTTAAGGGCTCTATTTGATAATGCTAGATTTTTGCCAAAAAAAAAAAAAAAACAAATAAAAGTTACTAAAATAGTATGTAATTAATGCAATAAATTTTGACTATAGTTTGACATACTATTTTTGAAAAAAGGTAATTCTTTTTATATATATATAGATTTTTTAGTTTATAGTTTATGATTTATACTTAAAAAGATAGCTTATAATAAAAGTATTTGGTAAAATTAGCTGATAAGCTAGTTGAAATAAAAATTTCAACGAACTTGTCTGAAAAATTACCTAAACAAGCTTATTAAATAAATTCAAGTTTATTTATAAGAAACTCATCCTACCAAACGAAATTTAATTAATACAAGAAACTTATAAATTAATCAAATAAGTTATAAGTTAACTATTTGTCCACTAAATCTAGTCTAACAAGTGGGGCTATTAGAGCATCTCCAACCATGCCCACTGTACATACAGTTTCTACAGTAAAATTCCACTAGTTATACAGTTTCAACAGTACCAGCAACTCCAATCCATTCCCTCTATAATTCCCTTCTAAAAGAATATTCCAAGTATATTCTTTTCTAATTTAATTAATTTACTAAATAATCTCTACAAATTATATTTTAATGCATTATGCGTGCTAAATTTTACATATCTATGTATATATATTAATTATTAGTTAATAAGATTAATTAATAAATTTAAATCCAAATTATAAAATTACATATAAAATTATAATAAGATAAATGCATTATTCTTATTTTGTAATTTTAACTTGTTTGTTTGAAATATTATTTTAGGAAATTTAAATTCTAATTAATATTCTGTCATATTATTTAATAAATTATTCAATTTCTTATTATCTACCATATTAATTACAATAATTAAATTTAAAACAATTATAAAATGTTTTAATTCAACCCATAAAACTATTTAATACAATTAGCCCAATTATAATTAAAAAAAAAAAGCCCACCCACAATACATCTAAATAGCCCAAAATACAATCCAATTTAATTTTTTTAACCAAAAAAAAAAAGAAAAAAAAAAAGAAAAATTTATAGCGGATGAACAGTGGAACGGTTGCCAAACCGTTCCACAAAACCCCTCTGCCTTTTCCTGCACACATAGAGGACCCGATTGAAGATGAATTCTCTCCACCCTTACCGTTTTCGCTTCCTATAGCGTAGGGGTTGAAGATGCTCTTACGAAGCTAGCTGCATTAGATAATTTATTTGGAGTTATATTGGAGCTAGTTGCACTAGCTAATTCACTTGGGTGTTGATTGGTATAATAGAATGGAATATCGTAGGAATGGAATATTTTGAATAATGAAATGATTATGAGAATGGAATGAAATAAGTTTTGTCATTGATGCATTTGGTATGCAGAAGGAATAAGACCTTAATGGAATGACATTATCATTTTTTTATTATAAAAATAAAAAAATCTTTTCTTAAAACAATAATATATTTTTAATAAATTATATATAAATGATTTTTTAATAATATATAAAAATAAAATAATATATTTTTAATAATATATAAAAATAAAATAATATATTTTTTA